GGTATATATCCAAAGGATTAGAAATGGTTCTATTATAAAGACACATGCACACTTATGTTCACTGCGGCACTGTTTACAATAGCAAGGACCTGGAACCAACCCAAATGCCCATCGATAATAGACTGGATAGGGAAAATGTGGCACATATACACCATGGAATACTATACAGCCATAAAAAATGATGAGTTCCTGTCCTTTGTAGGGACATGGATGAAACTGGAAACCATCATTCTCAGCAAACTGACACAAGAACAGAAAATCAAACACCATGTGTTCTCACTCATAGACAGGTGAACAATGAGAACACATGGACACAGGGAGGGGAGCATCACACACTGGGGTCTGTTGGGGGGTACTAGGGGAGGGACAGTGGGGTGTAGGAAGTTGGGAAGGGCCAACATGGGGAGAAATGCCAGATGTAGGTGATGGGGATGAAGGCAGCAAGCCACATTGCCATGTCTGTACCTGTGAAACAATCCTGCATGTTCTTCACATGTACCCCAGAACCTAAAGTGCAATAAAATAATATTTTTTTTTAAAAAAAGAGAGAGAGAATGCCTTTCTCTTATTTGAAGCCTGCAAGCTTGTAATTTGTCACAGCAGCCTTTGCAAATGAACACAGGTGGTGAACCCAGATCATACCAGGAGGGGATGGAGGAGTGAGCAGGGGAAGAGATGCATCCCATACCAGGTGTGTTCAAGAGGCGTTACCGCTGTAGGCAATTGAGAGTCCGGCCAGCCTGGGACACTGGATGGAGCACGACTCAGAATGGTCCTATGCCTGGGCAAGGAAGCCAGGGCACATAACCACTAACTCCCTCAGTCAGTGCTGCACCTGCTTCTGGTGTGAGAACACCTGGAACCTCCAGCCTGCCCTGGGCCAGGATTGGTCTGCCCTGGAAGGGTGGGACAGCCACAGCATCTGTCACCAAGTGGGCTAGAGACAGGGCCATCTCATTTATTAGGGAACTTCATTGACTGAGCAGTAGCCCTGAGCCAGGTACTGGTCAGGGCACCGGTTTCCAGGGTTGAAGGCTATAGACAAGAATCCTGCACTCACACAGCTTCCATTATAGTGGACTGGGAGGGATGGTGCACAAGACCACTGCAGGAGAGACAAGAATGTCCCGAAAGCAGGATGATATGAAAGAGGGGACGGGGCTGTGAGCTGAGGCATTTATGAGAAGAAGTCCACCAGGCAAACTCGGGATAAGAATGCTCCAGTCAGAAGCAAGTGGAGTTAGCCTCAAAGAGGCCGGGGCGCAAGCAGGTGGGTGACATGGACAGTGGTGTGTGTGCAGACTCTCTGAGAGTTCCTCAGCAGGACTCCCTGCCTAACACAGTTCAGCAGCTTCCCACTTATTTAGGGCAATGGCTGGGTGCTTATGCCCCACAGAGGACATTTGGCAATGTCTACTGGCAGTTTGGGTTGTCGCAACCCAGCGGGAGAAACGTGATACCAGCGTCTCATGGGCAGAGCCAGGGAGGCTGCTGAACATCCTACCATGCACAGAACGGCCCCTCACCAAAAGGATTATCCAGCCCCAAAGCCCACAGGGCCAGGGTTGAGAAACCCAGTCTTGGAATGCAAGCAATACCCTCGCCCCCCGTCTTACAAAGCTATATGTATTCTACTCTGCTGGCACCTCATACCACCTTGTTCAAGCCATGTGGGCTTCTCAGAGCTTCAAACACGCCAGGATCTTGCCTACCACTGAGCCCTTCCCTGAGGCCCTCTTTCTTCCAGTCTTCTGTGGTCGATTCTTTATCCTTCAGGTCTCAGCTTGGAAGCCACCTCCCAGCAGAGGCCTCTTCTGGCTGTTGCATGAAATGTTCCTTCCCCTTCCAATAGCCACATTCCCCTAATGGTCGTCTTCCTGACACTTAAACACCTTTTGAGCTTCTCATCTATTTACTTGCCCCTCATTTATTACAGCTGCCCATTAGAATGAGGGCAGGACTTGTCTGGACTATTGACTGCTGAATTCACAGCCACTAGCACAGTTCCTGGCTCATGGTGGGTGCTCAGTGGATATATGGCTAGTGAATGAATGAATCTTGCCCTTGAGAAGGGTATATATCTTTTGCTAAATGCAAGAGTATCAGCTCCCAAGGCCATGGCAACCCTCCCAGGTTTAGAATACCCACAGTGACACAGTGCTGGCCCCGGGAAGTGCTTATTCTCCTTCCTGATATGATATGATGTCACTTTGCATTTGCTTTCTGCTCTGTGGGATTTCATGCCAATTTCTCATCCATCTAGGGAGCCTTCACTAGTCTCAAGTGGAGCTGAGACTGTCATTTTGATTCTGTGTTCTCCAAAGGGGGCTAATGCTCATGAAGCCACAGAGCCAGCTGGAGAACAAGTGTTCCATAGATCTCAATGCTGTGCATGACCTTACAGGAATGTTTGAAAGCAATTTCATGGAAAGCTGGCAATATCGCCCAAAAGCATGACCTTAGCTGGGGAAAGCTGTTTTACTTGGACCAATTAAGGGAAACTGTTCAACATCATCTGTTTGATATTTTACTAGGCAAAAACAAATGAAAACATCTATCAACACAGGAAACTGGTTACCCAAGGAAAATTCATTTTTCTCCACTTAAGAGAGAGTGCTGAGAATATATTTTTGTTTCCCCTTCTTCTCAAAATACCATTTACATGATATCAGAGAAATGTTCCATAAAGAATAGACCTTTAACACCAAGGAAATTGAGAAGAGATAGCAGTGAATGAGCTACAAATTTCTGCAAGATGAAAAGAGGATGAAGCCTTCTGATAAAATGGAAGCAGAACATGCTAGAGCTTAAACAGCAGAACCCATAGAGGCTCCATGTGCGAGAAGGGGGCCCACAAAGAGGCTGGCTGATAGGCTGTGTGTGGACAACCACTCCTGTCTGGTTCACTCACTCCCCTTCCCCGCTTCTTTCTCCTAACCAGAGGTAGTTGGACCCTTTATCCCTAGGCATGGGAGCACACGTGTACACAGACATACACATACACATGATTTTCTCTAAAGAAATTGATTAACTGTCCGGGGATAAATGGGGCATAAGAACTCCTTTAAGTCTTTGGGTACCTAAAGGCCAGGTCGCCAGCTGCTTTCCTGATGTGAAGCCAGCCTATGGAAAAGCTCCACCACCCACCTAAACCTGTAGTCATAAAATTTCCCATCAGGAGACACCTAGCAAGGGGAAACAAAGGCAGAGAAAACTCTAAAAACCCAATCCAGTTGCCCAGGGTTAAATACAAATGGGTCAGCAGACAGATGAACAAAACCAATGGCATGAAAAAGCAAGAATGAGAGAAACAAAAAAAACCTGCCTCTGGAAGAAACAGATGCAAGTCAAAGAAGGAAGGAGAGTTTAGGAGGGGAAAAGAAGACTCTAATTGATATGGCTTGGCTGTGTCCCCACCCAAATCTCATCGTGAATTGTAGCTCCCATAATTCCCACGTGTTATGGGAGGGACCTAGTGGGATGGGAGAAAACTGAAACATAGGGGCGGTTTCCCCCATACTGTTCTCATGGTGGTGAAGTCTCACGATAGCTGATGGTGTTATAATGGGTTTGCCCTTTCTCTTGGCTCTCATGCTCTCTTGTCAGCCACCATGTAAGGTGTGACTTTCACCTTCCACCGTAATTGTGAGGCCTCCCCACCCACGTGGAACTGTGAGTCCATTAAACCTCTTTTTCTTTATAAATCACCCAGTCTCGAGTGTGTCTTTATCATTAGTGTAAAAACAGACTAATACACTAATTAATATTAATATCCTCAGAGAGATTCAAAAATACATCGCATCCATGTAAAAAGTGATTCTTTTAAACACTCAGAGAAAAAGAGCTTGTGGAAATTAAATATATGAATGTATGATTGCCAAATTTAAAATTCAAAAGAATGGCTGAATGGCAAAGGTAACAAAGATTCCCACAATAAAGATAAAAAGACAAGAACATGGAAACTTTGACAGAAAAGAAAAAGAAACATAGAGAATTGGTACAAGACATTCCATTTTCACCTGACATGAATACAGTAAGGAAAAACAAAGAATAGGAGGACATTGCCAAAATGAAGGAGAAAAAGATGAAAATCTTCCAAGCTGATGAGAAATTTGACTTTAATCTAAAAGAACCCTCAGCATCAAACAGAACATATGAATAAAGATCCACATTCAGATGCATTATCCCAGAATTTCAGAGCACTGAGAATAAGGACTATACAAATAAGTTTCCAAAGATAACAAGATTCAGACAAACATGAGGTCCAGGTAGCCTGTGTTCAAATCCTGGCCTTCACACATCACAGCTATATGGTTGGACCAAGTCTTTCTGGGGCTCAGTTTCTTCATCTGCAAAATGGAGATTATGGCAGTAGTAGAAAGTTGTTGTGGGGAGGAAATGAATTAATTTCTTTAAAAGACAGGGCCTAAAGCCAATTACAATCAATGCCATATGTTCACCTATTATTGTTATTCAAGAAAAAAAAGCAACCGAGAAGTCAATAATTATTTGTCATCGACATTATGACGATCTCTGCAGTGTTCATTTCACTCCCTCCCAGTGGAGCAGCTATGTGACTTAAAGTTGTAAATGGGTGTAACTCCATCCCTTGCCTAACCATGATCTGTATCCCACCAAACCACTAATTAGTTCTGGGATGCCTACATTTATAAAATAAGAGGAAAACTCCAGGCTTCTGCCTCTGTAGCTAGAGCAGGAAATGCTTTCCTTCTGCTCTCTCTCTGTTGTAGACCCCAGAAGCTGCTGGTCACCTGTGAAGAAAGTCATCACCAAGCTTGCGCAAAGTCCATAGCCATGATCCCACCGTGGCTGAAGTCCACACAACCATCCTACATTTTAATGGTGTGAGCCACTAAGCTCCCTTTCTCATCTAAATTCATTCGAGGTGGGGTTTTTGTTCTGTCCAACCAAAAGCGCCCTCACTGATACATTCTAGGCTGGAGCCTCCAGACTAAGCCCAACCTTGCCTCAGGCATTACCTAGATGATGTATAACAATAACAGGCCTTTGGATGAAGCAGTGAGGGAGGAGAAATTCAGGGTCACAATCAAGACCACAGTGAAGGTGAGGATGTTCATGAGGACACCCATTCTCAGCACTAACCACTGGTGAGCATAGTTAAGTAGAAGAGGTGACAGGAATTCTCATCGTCTAGCCTCTCAAACCTAAAGTCAAGAAAATCAGAAAAAGCTCCTGCTTTTTCCGATTGTGCTTCTGTAGACTTAGGGTTAGGGTGACTGGAGAAATAAGGCCAGGGACTTTTTAATCGAGGAGAATGTACTCTTACATAGCAGACTCTTACAAAAATGAACATATATTCTTGCTCTTAAAATCTTCCATGTTAGACATTTTTGATTTGCATATATTTTAGGAAATCTCACGTGGCAATAGAGTAGGGCGCTAAGTGACTCTTTCTGTCTTTCCCAGGACTGGTAGCTAGAACCCACAGCTGAGAAGAAAAGGTGCTGAGTGCTTCACATTCTAACCCAGAGGATCTGTATCATGGAGTCAGCCACACTTCAAAGGCCTTGTGGAATTGACAATTGGCCCCTCAATCTATAGAAAGGGTGCGGTGGATTGTGAAGGAGGTCACCTTTAAACAAGTCAATGTTTGTGACCATAGAGGAGGGAAGGGAGGGTTCATGACAGATTTCCCTCCCTGAATCAGAGAAAGAAGATTGAAGACAGTTGCTTATAAAGCTGGGAGCCACTTCAAGGGGAGGAAGCTGACCCCTTGCATCCCTGCTGCACATCCATGGAGCCAAAGGGCTTGGAGACGGGGGAAGGAGCAAGAGAAGAGTGACAGGGAGATGACACAGCCAGAGGACAAGGGCAAGACGCACCCCCGGAGTTCCTCATTCCCCATGTATGTATGAATGGCGATTGAATTTGTATGCTGTATAGCTACATGACAGAAACAGGGCTGTATTTGGAAGAATATTTTGACTAAGCCCTGGGGAAAATAAGTTAGAGTTGAAACAGAGAGGAGGAGAGGGCAGTGGAGTCCAGGGAGGCTTGTCAGAGGGGCTTTCAGGCAGAATTTTGGGAGGACTTTCAGGACAGCATGGAACAACAGTGCCTGAGGACGTTCACGATGATGCCCAAGGAGAAACTGTACCTGACAGAGTCGTGATGTATGGAAGGCGGATCCCATCAGCTCCATAGTTCCTAGGGCCGAGACAGCAGAGGGAAGATGACATTGGAGGCTGTAGTCATAATTCCATGGTCCCTGGCATGAAGCAAAGGGGCCTCCACATCAGAGTGCGGTGTGAGGACGGCCAGGCAGAACTCAGAGGAAGACCCAGCAACTCTTACCAATGCAGCAATGCCAGCAGAACTGCTGGGGATCTGGCCCTGCTGGAGCCTCGAAGCTGCCGTCCCACATCTGCACAGTGCACTATAGCAGCAGGAAAGGGCAGCAGAAAGGAGAGGATGGCCCAGAGGTGCCAAACAGTCACCTGAGGATGTGTTCTTCCTGCTGTCCCCTTCCCAGCTCCCCTGCATGGCCATTAGAGAGCCAGGCCTGGAGAAAAGGAAGAGAGTGTTTGAAAGCACAGAGCAGGTGCTTCTCAACTGCAAGCCTGCCCCACCCCGACACACACACACACACACACACACACACACACACACACACACACAGCATAGCCTTGCCACACCAAGCCTCTTGGGGAAAGAGACCTGTGTGTTGAATACATTCAAGATTGAAATTTTCACCGCACTGAGCTGACCATTAACCAAAAGACGCATCAAATTCAATTGCCATGATGGCTTCCCTGATCTAGTAGGGAAGGGCTTCATGAGAACAGCTGATAGAAACTATTGGGGGGGAAATGAAAGCCTTCTCATGATTAAAGCCCTAAGGAGGTACAATTCCTCCCCTGGCATCGTCGAGAACATCCTCAGGCACTGCTGCTCCATGCTGTCCTGAAAGTCCTCCCAAAATTCTGCCTGAAAGCCCCTCTGAACAGCCGTCCTGGGTTCTGCCACCCTCTCCTCCTCTCTGTTTCAACTCTAACTTATTTTCCCCAGAGCTTAGTCAAAATATTCTTCCAAACACGGTGCTGTTTCTACCTCGTTGCTATACAGCATACAAATTCAACTGATAACCTCCGTGACCTGGAAGTCACCTGCGGTCTTATCTGTGTGGTTGGTTAGATTGCACGGAAACAAAATCACTATCTGGAATAAAGCTGGAATTTGCCTTCTAACCTTATTACATTTTTTAAGCTGTAGCATTTTTGTCTGGTGGTAATAGCAATACACGTCAGAAACCCAAGCCCTATGGAAAGAAAATAGTAAAAGAAGGGAAACTCCATCAATCATTCTTGGCTCCCTAGAGGATCCTCTCAGAAATCTTGGAGGAGAAGCTGTAGACAAGGCTCACATCTGTGTTTGTCGTGGGTGAATAGACTAATGGCTCCATGGATTTTACTCATGGCCAGGACATTGGAAGGGTCTGTGTGTGAGGCAGGACTCTTGACAAACGATGTTCAGGTCAAACTAGGGTCAGGATTAGGTGCTGACTGAACTAAAGACAAAGTGTGATGTCAAGTCTACTCTGAGATCCTGAGATCCAGAGAGAGAATTAGATGCAATTCTAAATTTAATGCAATTCCGGGCCAGGTGCAGTGGCTCATGCCTGTAATCGCAGCATTTTGGGAGGCCAAGGTGGGTGGATCACTTGAGATCAGGAGTTCGAGTGCAGCTGGCCAACATGGTGAAACCCTGTCTCTACTAAAAATAAAAAATTAGCTGGGCATGTAGCCCCAGCTACTCAGGAGGCTAAGGCAAGAGAATGACTTGAACCTGGGAGATGGAAGTTGCAGTGAGCCGAAATCGCGCCATTGCACTCCAGCCTGGGTGACAGAGTGAAACTCTCACAAAAAATAAAAAACCATAAAATATATAAATAAATTTAATGCAATTCCAAACTTAGAATGCATTATATGCACCCTTTAGAACTGCATCTAATTCTTTCTCTCTGATGGATGTGTTAGCTTTTTAAGGAAGGAAAAGATAGAAAATCTATGTGGAAAAGGCTGCTATGGATTCATCAAACTCCATTTTCTTTTCGTCCTGTGGACACAGCCGGACTACATTTCCCAGCCTCCCTTGCAGTTAGGGGAGCCCATGCAACTCCAATCTGGCCAATGAATGTGCAGAAATCTTGGGATGTTTTGCTAGGTTTGGACCATAAAATTCCCCATGGGTCCTCCTTCCTGGTCTTTCCCCTAGTCTCAACACAGAGGATCTGAGAGAATACTCCAGGGCCCTTAGGATGAAAGAGCCCCAGATGGATATAGACTCTGCCTGAGTGTGGAGTAGAATCCCCTACCCTTGCTCCATGGACCCTCACTAAATTATGACATCAGGAAAAATACTAATTTATTGTATGAACTCCCTAAGATTTGGAGTTATTGTTACCACAGTGAGCCTACTGTAATTAATATATATATGTGTGTGTGTGTGTGTGTGTGTGTATGTATATATACACACAAATGTATATATATATGTGTGTATATGTGTGTGTGTGTGTGTATATATATATTTTTTGGAGATGAAATTTCACTCTGTCACCCAGGCTGGAGTGCAGGGGCACAGTCTCAGCTCACTATAACCTCCACTTCCCGAGTTCAAGAGATTCTCCTGCCTCAGACTCCTGAGTAGCTGGCATTACAGGTGTCCACCAGCATGCCCAGCTAATTTTTGTATTTTTCGTAGAGACAGATTTCACCATGTTGGCCAGGCTGGTCTCTGACTCCCGAACTCACATGATCCACTCACCTTGGCCTCCCAAAGTGCTGGGATTACAGGCATGAGACAGTGTGCCCAACCTGATTTATACATTTTATGTCGTATTTTAGAAGTTTGAAGCTGGAAGATACCAGAGAGATTTACTAACATAGTCCCCATATTTTAAAAAGAAGAAAATGCTAAGTGAAATGAAAGGTGGCCTTTAGAAATGATAGGGAACATGTAATAACATAAAACAAGCTATTTCAAACATTCAACTAAATGTAAGAAATGATTATAAATACTTAAGAAGAAAAAGAAGACTCTATGAATAGAAAAAGAGAAAAAAACTGAAAGGAAATATATGAAAAAATTAATAGATTTGGGTTGGAGGGTGCTGTAAGTGATTTTTTTCTCCTTTTTTCTGCTTTGTCCTATCTTCCTGGATCGAATACATTTTTACTGTAAGAGTAAGATTATTTTTACTCTTAGAGTAAAAAATAGAACAAATGAGGTTGTCATTGAACAAGCTCCCCTCATTCACATCTGCTGGAGCCCCAGATGCTGGAAGGGAGGCCATGAGGCCATGTGTCTTCAAGGACTCCTGATTCTTCCAGCTCTTTGTCTGCAGTCAGTCCCCAGCATCCCAGACTTCCCTCCTTCTGTGCCCTCCCCATTGGAGTCAGGCATGAAGCGTGGGGGCCTGGGGCAGGGCCACGCATGGGACTCACTTGGTGATATAGTTCTCCTTCTTGCCATAGGCGTGAATGATTCCCAGGCCCTCCACAGAGAAGGAGACGTGGGAGAACCAGGGTGACCAACTGACTTTCTCCACCTTCTTGAGGTTTTGGACTCCTCTGTGGAAAATGCTGGAAGAAAAATGAGAGGAGCCAAGTGGGCCACAAAGTGAGATCTCATCAGGCTTGCCCTCGCACATACAGAGCCAACTAGGCACTCAGCACTGTGCTTAAGTCAGAAGTGGTGCCATCTAAATGGGGATGAGGAGTGGACCTGCCATTTTGCATCAGGGCCCATCCCAGGTGTGGGAGTGGCTGGGGCGTGAGAACTACGAGTCAGCTGTGCCTTCATTTTGCCATAATGCTAAGTGTTTCTTGTATCAGGAAGGTCTCGCTCTACAAGGCATGATTCTAGCCTTCAAAGACCAAAATTACTCTCATACAGCACAGCCCCTAAATATCAGCCAACCACTTTTTGGTGCTCAGCCAGAGAAAAAGTGATCTGTTTTAACTCTGGAAGAAAACCCAGTGTGTCAATTGCCAACATGTGGCCTTCTAAAGGCATTTTCAAAGGTAATTTTGAATGAACATCATCATAGCTGACTTTAAAACCAAACCCCCATGGGACTTAGCTCCTCTTCATGTGGAAGCTCCAGAAGCTCTGGTGAGCAGGAGACCAGGGACCTCGGGTATGCACAGCAGCTGGCTGGCCCCCAAGAGAGAAGACAATGAAACCTCCAGACTCTCAGCTAAAATGAACCCGGGGCAGCAAGGAGGGAAGCCTCATTAGTGCAGAGCAAAAGTGGGTTGGTTGGAAACACTTGGATAATTCAGGCAGGGTGAGGTCTGGTCTGTCTTGTCTTTATAGCTAGAAGGGTGGGTATGGAGCTGAGAAAGAGCTTTTACTAAATAAATCAATTGCATAAACAGGAGGACAGACAGGAACAACAATCAAACAGGAATGACAGAAAGGAGCATGAGCTCAAAGAATCCATTGTAAGAATGACATCCAGGACTTGCTTTTATCCTGTAAATGACTCTCAGAAATTATTTGTATTTGGTCACCACAATAAACCCTTGAGTTTGGTGACTCAGACGATTTCATTTTGGGGCAGAAGAATAGGGTCTGGAGGCAGGGAATCTAAGGCCAATTCACACTGACTTCCTAGAACTAAATCAAAATGAAACCCCCAACTTTTCCTGCCTAAGTAACAAAAGGATCAGAAGCTACTCCCTTTGCAAACCTGCCCTTGCCTTTTTCTGGGTGACAGATGAGAAACTGAAAGTACCTCTGGTTGGTCCCCTCCCACAACCAAACAAGCTGGTGGCAGGCCAAGTCTTCATTTGTGTAGTAGTAACTTTGTGGCTTCACCTCAGCCTCTGATTGGTCACTTTTTGCCACCAATCAGACTGATCATGGGCCACTACTTCATTTGCATACGGTGTACACAAAGTAGCCAATGGGAAACCTCTACAAGGTATTTAAGCCCCAGAAAATTCTGAAACTGAACTGTTAAGCCCCTATGCTCAGGCCTGAATGTATTTTCATTTTTAATCAATCTCTGCTTTTGTTGTTTCCTTCTTTCATTGTTTTGTGTGTCTTGTCCAATTCTTTGCTCATAGGTGCCAAGAACCTGCAGACCCTCCACCAGTAGCTATTTCACTTCCTTGGGGCCACCACAGGGACAGTGAGAGACAGCAGCAAGAGTCCAGCTCTCCCAGCTCCCTAGGGCACAATGTCAGCTCCCAGGGCCATACCTGCCCTATCCCTGCACAGAGGCCAGCTCTCCTGCCCCAGCACATCTCCACATCTGCATTTGCCACTGTCCACAGACACCATTAGCAGACTTGTTGAACAGAACTGAAGCATCCAAAAACAAACTCTTAACAAGAGTAGAGCCTCATGGTTAGGAACATAGCAGAGAGGTGGCAATCATGGTTACCAGTTTCTTGGCCTGGGACCAGTGCTTTAATTTCCCAATAATTTCCACCTTTCAGGGTTGCGCTGAAGCTAAAATGCCAGATGTATGCAAAGCACTTAGCATAGCATCTGGCATTTACTAAGTACAAAAAAATCTATTACTCAGCCTTGCTGAGTAATCCATTTTCTCGGTGTGGATTTTTCCCGATGTTATAAACCCATTTCCAACAAACTTGGGGGCTCGTCCATGATTCTGTTTCCCCTCTGGGGCAGTCCTTGGTCCCTTCTTGTGGGGAGGTGCCCCTCCGACCTATTTGCAGTGGCCCCAGGGGAGAGAGCCAGGACTTACCCAGTGCAAGAAATAAACCTGGATTCTTAGCAAAGCAGCAATACAGACCAAATAGATTCCAAACCATGGTGACCAGAGGCCTCGGCCAGGCAACCTCATGCACAAGCCAAGGTAGGAAATGTTGCAAAGGGACGATGAAGTACTTCCTTGGTGGTTAACTTCTGGAGGGTAGAGTGTGTGTGTGAATGCGGTGTTGTTTGCGAGTGAGGGATTCTTCCTGGGTCCACAAAGGGCAGGGTTTCAAAGGCAGGAGTTTCCTGGCTCCACCACTCCATCCAGGAATGTAAAGTTCTTTGTCTAGCTAGGTTTCCTGCCCTTGGGCTAGGTAGAGAAATGCAGGTGGACTTCTTTGTCCAAAAAGCCTGCTGAAAGCTCTGGGAGGAGGGGGCTCTGTTGTGGACCAAGCAGCCAATCCAGTATCAGAGTCAAAGATCAATCACTCCAGAAGTTTGAAAGAACTCTTCTCATTGGACAAGAGTATGAATGGGGAGGGAATAACTCCAGGGTTAAAACTCTGCTGCTCCTTACCTGTATGGACATCCTTCTCCAGATTCCCCTACCACAACAGTGTGAGAGCTCTCTTTCTCTCTTTCTATCTCTCTCTGCCTAATAAATCACTCTCTGCAAAACTCTTTGGGTCCATGATGTTTATTTTAATGGTAAGCTCACTGCATCTCCAGGGGCCCTTTTTCCATTATTTGAGGTAAGAGAGGCCAAGGACAGACTGGGAAACTGGGAGCGTCTTTGGGACACCCCCGCTCCCCTACTCCGCCCCCCCACCCCGGTTACATGAATGGCAACAAGTCCTACTGCTGGGGAGTGGCCAAGGAGGATGGCATGCATGAGAAGAGTGTGAGGGACCCTCAGAAGGAGGAAGGGAGGAAACAGGTCAACATCCCAGGGCAGTGACGGCGAGAGATTCCCAGCTTTGGGGGTTGAGTTTTCCATAAACAGAACAGGAAGAGATTCCCAGCTTGGGGGGTGAGTCTTCTGTAAAAACAGAACAGGCAAGAGATTCCCAGCTTGTGAGGGTTGAGTCTTCCATGACAAATGATAAAGTATTGCTGTTTTATTTGAACTAAAGGACTGATCCTCAAGCCCACAGTTGTCTGGCCAAAATTTGGGTTGGATGGGGATTAGGTCTGTCAACTCTTAAGAAAAAAGAGAGAGAAAGAAAAAAAAAAATTGACTATGATCTCTGTTGGCGGCAGGGGCCAGTTCTCTACTTATTAAGAGGAGGAGGAAAATAATCAGAGAGTAGAATAAAGTCAGGAGCAGTCTCACCTAAAAAGGGTGGATCTTTTACCCATGAGCAGTCCACATGTAACTGGGACCCTTTAGACCATGTTCCCTCATTTCCAGCTCCAACTCCTGCTCCCACCATCCCCACAGCACTGCCTTCTCCTCCCTTAGCAGGCTGCTGCCTCAGAACCCAACCCAGAATTTCCTACTCCCCCATAGAACCAGGTTCTTGGGAGCTAGCATGTCAAAGGCCTGATCATTGTCAGCCTGCATGTTCTTCCTGGAAGAAATGGCTCTGGCAGGAGATAGCGCAATGCAAAAGAGATATTCAGAGTTTTCCTTTTCCCTCTTTTTCCAAGGAATCGGCTGCAGTTTCAAAGCTTTTTTCTTTTTCTCTAAAGAAGATGCCTAAAGGAGGAGGCACAGTTAGTTCTGTGAAGCCTCAAGGAGGAGGTGTGGTTGGTATTGTGAATGCTCCCTTAACTGCTTCTAAGGTCCGGGGTCTAGAGAGAGAACTTAAGCTATTATTAGATGATCCAGATTGGGTAGCAGAACAGATTGATCATTTTTTAGGTCCCCAGTTACATACTTAGAGTTAATGTCCATTCTAAATATTCTCTTTTCAAGGGAAGAAACAGTAGACTTGGAAAGCAAGAGACAGAGAGTCAAAGAGATAGAGAGAGAGTAAGAGAGAGAGATAGTAAGAGAAAGAGACAGACAAAGTCAAAGAGGAGTCAGAGAGAAAGAGAGAAAGGCAGAGAGACAGAGAGAGAGAGACAAGGAGGCAAAGAGAGAAGGAGACACAAAGGAGAGAAATTAGGAAGAAGAGAAAGAAATATTAAGAAAGTTATAAATATAAGAATGCAGCTTACACCAGGCATGGTGGCTCATGCCTATAATCCCAGCACTTTGGGAGGCCAAGGCAGGTGGACTACCTGAGGTCAGGAATTCGAGACCAGCCTGGCCAACATGATGAAACCCCGTCTCTACTAAAAATACAAAAATTAGCTGGGTGTGGAGGTGGTTCATGCCTGTAATCCCAGCTACTAGGAAAGCTGAGGCAGGAGAATTGCTTGAACCTGGGAGGTGGACGTTGCAGTCAGCCGAGATCGCACCATCACACTCCAACCTGGGTAACAAGAGGGAAACTCTGTCTCATAAAAGAATACACCTTTAATAAGGAAAGTTATAAAACAAAGTTAGAAAGTTAAGATTGTATGATTGTCTGTGATAGTTGTGAAATATGTTATAAAAAGGAATTTATGCAAGAAGTGTTGTATAATTTTTGTTTTGAAAGTTTAAGCACATTTTGAAATCTTAATCATAAAGGAAATTCGGTGTGTAACCATATCAGCTAAAGTTAAAGAGGTATTATCCAGATTTTCTGTAAACTGGACATTAAAATAAAAGCACAACAGGTTTTTCTTAAATCACTAACCTGCTCTTTAACAAAGATTATAGAAAGTCTCTTAGCACAGGCACCACTCCAAGAATTTCCAGTACACCAGTACCAGCCTGGAGACCACCCTACCTCGTGCTGCTAGCCACCAAGACTGCCGTTCGCACAACAGAAAAGAGATAGACACATCACACCCGAGTCACGAAAGTGCCATCACCATTAGAACCATGGGCTATTGTTCTGGGATCAGACCATACCAAGTTAAAGCTAAGAAAAGCGTAGTCTATCTATCTTTCCTTTCTTTTTCTTTTCCTCCTTTAACCTCCCCATCTTGTAATTAATGTGATTAGCTCTGGCTCACCTCACGTTGTTGCTTTGATGTCTGTTTAGTTATGCGTCGTGGAGATTTGCATAACCAAGGACGGTTTGCTGCTTCGGAACGATGTCTCTGTCCCTCAGACTTCCTCATATTAGGAAGATACAATGCGTTCCTCTAAGGATACTAGTAATCCAAGGAATAGTAGCTTTGTTTGTGATTGGTATGAATCAGACTCTTGTCCCTCAAAAACAGAATCTCTATGTTCTGCTTAGCCTAATGTCATATGGAACAATAAAGGGTTAAGATAGACTGCTTCCACAGGTCTTTGTCCATCCTTAAAACTACATATCCACTTCGTCAAAGGAATTACTCCTTCTAGCTGTCAATATAACCAATGTAATCCTATACAGCTACTATTGTTATTGCAACATCTGAAAACTCTTCTCCTTCATTAAGTCGTATTTATGGTATAGGAGCCGACATTTCAAGAAAGGATCCTAAAGAAATTTTTGAAATGCACTTTATTGCTCCTTCAACCTCTTTATCAATCTCTCTTCCTAGACACAATAACAAAACCAGAGTCTCAATGGTGGAAGTAGAGGACCTAAGGCAAACCATAGCCATTGAAACAGGTTATAAAGACGTAAACGCCTGGTTAGAATGGATTAAATACTCCGTTCGCACCTTAAATAAATGCCACTGTTACGCTTGTGTGCACGGTAGGCCAGAGGCCCAGGTTGTCCCCTTTCTACCTGGATGGTCCCCAAATCAAGCGGACACGGAATGCATAGTAGCTCTTTGTCAGGATTCCAATGCCTGGAATAACTAATTATCCCAAGTTCTTCCACTGCTATTTCCTGAGGTTCAGCACCCTGTGGTTCAGCCCCTGAGAGCCATACAGCCTCCATTTCACAAGATGAAGTTCGCCTCATGTCTCTCATGACAAGAGGAGAACTTGCTGTTCCTTGGAAACTTAACAGAATGCAGTGAAATCAGGCACTTCTGAGAGCTGGCTCATCAGTCCGCCCTTACTCATCCCTGAATGGATGTATGGTGGTATTGTACAGGACCTTTACTGGATACTCTGCCAAATAATTGGAGCAACATTTGCACTATAGTCCAATTGGCTATCCCTTTTACCCTGGCATTTCATCAACCAGAGAAAGAGAAATTACAACATCAGCAAATAGGAGAAGCTCCTTATAGTTCTTTTGATTCTCATGTGTACTTAGATGCAACTGGGGTCCCAAGAGGAGTTCCAAATGAATTTAAAGCCCAAGATCAGAGAGCTGCAAGATTTAAGTCAATGTTGTTCTGGTAGGTAACAATTAATTTAAAAAATGTAGATTAGATAAACTACATTTATTACAACCAACAGTGATTTGTTAACTATGCTAAAGATGCTGTCAAAGGAAGAGCTGAACAATTAGGATCCACTAGCCAAGTGGCCTAAGAAAATAGAATAGCCCTAAACATAATATTAGCAGAGAAAGGTGGTGTTTGTGTTATTATTGGCACCTAGCGTTGTACCTTCATTCCAAACGACACTGCTCCCAATGGGAGCATAACAAAAGCCCTCCAAGGACCTACTGCTTTATCAAATGAGCTAGCTAAAAATTCTGGCATCAATAACCCTATTCCAAATTGTCTCAAAAGGTGGTTCGCTCAATGGAAAGAAACCATAACTTCAATTCTTACCTCTCTAGCAATAACTATACTTATTCTCGTTAGATGTTGTGTCAAACCATGCATCCAAGGACTCACGCAGAGGGTAGTAGACACAACTCTTACTAAAATATCCCAACCCCTCATCCACCCTGTTCAGATAGATTACTTCTTTTAGAAGAACAAACAGAACAACTGAGTCAAGACATGTTAAATAAGTTTGAAGAGGAATTATAAATAGAAAAAGGGAGGAATCATAGAAAATGAGAACAAATCAAAGGTTCCTCTTCAAACTTTTCTCTTAGTTCATTACAAATAAATAATAGTTTCTTCAAAGGTTAATTTACTTAAAGGTTTTGCTGGCCGGGTACAGTGGTTCATGCCTGTAATCCCAGCACTTTGGGAGACCAAGACAGGTGGATCATAACATCGGGAGTTCCATACTAACCTGGCCAATGTGGTGAAACCCTGTCTCAACTAAAAATACAAAACTTAGCAGGGCATGGTGGCGGGTTCCTGCAGTCCCAGCTGCTCGGGAGGCTGAGGCAGGAGAATTGCTTGAACCTGGGCAGTGGAGGTTGCAGTGAGCCAAGGCTTCCATTGCATTCCAGCCTGGGCGACAGAGTGAGACTCCGTCTCAAAAAAAAGAAGGCTTTTGCTAATAAACTTAAGGTGGCTGTTAGTCATAATAAAGAAATAAGTTCATCCCATGTTCTTAGTTCTTACACTTTAACCTAGATATTTGCTCTGACATGCCTAGACAAGCCCAGGCAAGTCTTAGGTCAAAGCTTATTCCCCTTCCTTATTTGAAAATGGTATTGCTGCTCTAAGCATTCCTCAAGTTACTTCCTCTTTTCCTTTGTTCTCCTCTGCATTTACTTCTTTAGAAACTTTCCAGGTTTTTAGCCAATCGGGTCAAGCAAAGAATGTGAGATCCCATTCTGACCAATGGAAGCTGAATACAGCAGTAGGATGATTGCATCAGGTTATGAAAGTTATAAATGTCCCCGTCTCCCTTGTTTAGGTGTGCTCTCGAGGCAAGACTGCCAGTGAGTTGCACCCTTCCTGCAGGAAGTAGAACTAGTCTTGCTGAGTAATCCATTGTCTCAGTGTGGATTTTCCCAAAGTTATAAACGTGTTTCCAACATAGACCATCAGTGAAGATAGCAAGCTCTCAATGCTCAATATCAATATCACCTGACACCCAGTCACTGTGCATAGTGTGTGTGTGTGTTATTTTCTCCTCTAAATAGCACATAGGACTACTGTAAGAGAATGAAGAAGCCTCTAGCAACGAAATCACCACAACTATAAGGAAATTAGGTAACACGGCAGCCAACATTATGAGAATAAACACCACCATAGAAAACTGCTGTAGAAAGTCCTCTGTGTGAAACGGCAGCCTCACATCCAACTCGTCCATATCCTTGGAAAAACGGTTCATTACCCCGCCAGTAGGTGTCATGTCAAAGAAGCTCAGTGGGTTCTTTAAGATCTGTGGAGAACCACAGAGAGTCAACTGAAGTCCAGGTGCATGCTTAGTAAACCCCACCACTTTGCTGTTGCTGGAATTGTGAGCACAGGGCCTGACCTTTTTTCCAGGGCACAACACAGTGTGTCAGGTGACCTTGGGAAAGGGAGGATGCACCCCATTCTTGTGGCCACCATGAATAACCGTGAATGTGGGGGAGAGTCAGTCTCTGTGCAGAGGTCCCGAGAGAACCCCTATAGGTCAGTCCTCCCCTCCAAATCCAGGATGCAGCCTGAGATGGGAGAGGCTGATGCCTTTGTCACAGGAAAGAATTTTGTGCCCCATGCAATAAAAAGCTAAGTTCCACTTTGTCTCTTTACCTCCCAAGTGTGGGCCCCACCCATATGCTCTAGCCATGGCCCTCTGAGCCCATGGTAGTGAAATGCAGAGGGAGCTGGAAGGATCTCTTGGGCCCCATGTCACACTCAGGGCTCTTTGGAACAGGAGTTGCTTTCTTGGCCTGCACATCTCTGCCACAGCATAGCCTCCCCCACCTCCACTCCTGGCCCAGGCTCAGGGCTGCTGATCCACCCCCACAGCTCCCTGGAACCTACCTTCAGTTGGTAATTCGCTATTTGGAACACCCTTCCCAGTCTAGACTGCAAGATCTGTGAGAGCTGTGGCTGTCCCCAGACCCCAGCACCGTGCCTGGCACACAGCAGGTGCTCTGTAAACCTTGTTGACTAAGTAACAGGGTGCACCTACAACACTTGTGCCATACCTTATCAAACACCATGTCATACAGTGAGAAGAATGCCATCAGTGTGACCCTGGTGAAAGTAAAGCCTTTGGTGTCACCAAACACCAGCACGGACACCATGCTTGCAGCATACACCCACTGGTACACATGTTGCCCGATGCCTACCAGCACTGCGCCAACCTCACACGTGGTCCTGTTGCCCTGGGGCCCACAGGTCACCTTTGGAGAAAAACAAGAGAAGCACCAAGAATTGATAAACTGTCAGGAGAACAGGAATTTTCCAGAGAATCTTTCCAGAGAGAAGAAACTAAAAAGAAGCATATGACTGTTTCCAATGAGTCAGGTGGGTACAATTGAGTCTGTTCCCTTCCAGGGTCTCTGAGCTTTGTGTGTTCCTCCTGCTGGCACTCATGATCCCAAGGGGCACCTGACTTGTGAGCTCAGCACAGTCAGTGGGAAAAACAAAGCACAGAAACCAGGTGGGCACCGGACAGACATCCCTGAAGCTCACTGCGCCTCCAGAGACCAGGAACAATGCTGGGCGGGGAAGAGCAGAGAGGCAAATGGGGAATCATAATTCCATGAGGCTGGAGGAGTAAGCCTCAGGCAGCCCAGAGCGGACAGAGGAATGGACCTTCAGCGTGCTGATCTGTGTAGCAGCAGCCACCAGGCCTTTGGGATGACTCGGGGGGCTTCTGTGTATGACAGGCCAGCTCCACAGTTCCTTCCCTTTCTTTCTCCCAAGGGGTAACTTAGAGGGTATACTGCCCTTGGGATCTTTGCTGGGGAGGAGGATACCCAGTGAATACAAGTGGCTCTCAGAGGCTTCAAAGCATCTGTGGCTCCGTGCTGCCCAGTGAGAACACACAATTTTGCCAGCATTTCTGGGGAGAGGGCATCTCCTCGACCCGAGAAATTGGCAGTTTCATTTTTCTCTGCTCTGTGTGCTGAAAGTCAAGACTGCCCTTGGGGAGCAAACAAGCATCTTTCTTCTAAATGCCATTTTGCTGATTACAGTCCTAATGGAAATGTAATCCAGAGGTGGCTGATGGATAAACATCCTTAAAAGCAAAAGTATCTCTGGGGAGCTGAGGGACAGAAGGCCCAGCTTGAAGAGGAGATATTCCTGTGCCTTTGATTGTGCTGGGGCGCCAGGGCCAAACATGCGATTCAGCCACCATGGCAGTGTGCTTAATCAGCCAACTGCAGTGGGACACCTGGGGTAGCACCAAGCCTGGGAGGAGGCTGCATCTTGACCCTAAAACTCGGGCTCTCCAAGGACAGGGCTCTTGGTGAGTAAGGTAGGATCTGGGAGAATATGTCTATTCCAGAGATAGGTCTCTATGTCTGCACAGAGCAGGCCACTCATTGGTCTCTCCCCCTGGGACTAGCTTCAGAAAGCCGTGCCCAGCAGCCTCTCCCCTGCCCCCTTCTCTGCAGTGCCACCTCTTTTTGGTTGTCATAGCAACGGAGCTGTACCAAATGTAATCATGGAGGATGGGCCGGCACCCCCACAGCATTCCCCAGGGCTCCAGGAAAGCTTTGAGACCACTGACCAAAAGCTGGGAGAGCTTCAGAAAGCTGGAGAGAGAGCAAACACATCAGTTCTTCCCAGGAAGGGGCCTGCAGAGAAGGGACCCCCATGGCTACATGGCAATTGCTGGGCCTGAATCTAATGCTTGCTCATCCTTGTTCATGCAAAGAGGACTTTGGGGAGAAGAGCCATGTGGGACCTTCTGGCACCCGGCAGTGTCTGTAACAAGATGCCAGTTTCTCTTTAGGAAGACACAAATCTGTGTTAAACTTTCCTGGAGGAAACTTCAGAGGCTGTGAAACTGAACCAGTCTTGTATGTCCCTGATTCCAGACATGCTGGGGCACACATCTTCTTTAGGCAGCCCTGTAAAATCTGAAACTGGTACCTAAAAGTATAGACACCCTGCTTGTCTTGCAAAATCCAAGAGGATTCCAGGGATTCGAGTCCTGTGGTATAAGCATCTGACCTCCACTTGTTGAAAAGGGCAGAGGGGTACATGTGGGCTCACGGCATGGTGGTGGAGGCAGTCAGATGCTCTGGCAGCAGTGTTTTACTCCAAGACACAGACTTGGCATCTTCCAGTTGCAAAGGAAAACTCACCTGTGAGCCCTTGTCACAAGTTACTGAACACAGAGCTGCCGATCATCAGGAGGAAGAGGAGCACAGTGATGAGAGAAGGGAGGTACCCTGCAAGAGGAGGGGAGAGGCCCAAGGGGCTGCAGATGTGAGCTGGTGGCAGAGGCTGACCTTCCTCAGGACCCAACCCTGATGGGAAATTTGAAGCCTGCAGGAAAAGGACCCCCACACCTGGAAACCACCTGTTAGGCTGCTGTGGCACATCTGGGTGTTGAGGCCCTGAACCGTGGCGACAGCTGTTCTTCCTGGTTGGAAAATGGGTCCAAACAGTGAATGTACTGGAAAAACCACCAATGTGCACTTTAATAGAAGTAACTCACTCGTCTTTAAAAGGAAACAAAGGTGTTTTTAAACTAGTCTTTTAAAAGCCACCATGGCACGGTGGCTCCTGTCTGCAATCCCAGCACTTTGGGAAGCCAAGGCAGGTGGATCACCTGAGGTCAAGAGTTCGAGATCAGCCTGGCCAACCTGGTGAAACTTCGTGTCTACTAAAAATACAAAAATTAGCCAGGCATGGTGGCGGGTGCCTGTAATCCCAGCTACTCAGGAGGCTGAGGCAGGAGAATTGCTTGAACCCGGGAGGCGGAGGTTGCAGTGAGCCAAGATTGCACCACTGCGCTCCAGCCTGGGCGACA